GGTATTTAAATTCCTCCCTTTTTTTTTAGTGCGTTGAAAATTTTGGGAGACTTCGTTTGGGTTAGTGGAGCTGGGAAAAACGTGTGTTCGGGTGTTGCCGGTGAGGTGTCTTTGGGGGGGACTGGCTTGGGTTTTTTTTGGTAAGGTTTTGTCCTATGCGGAAAAAGAAATATTGAGTCTGTTTGTGTTTCTGTTGGTGGGATTTGGGGGTTCATCTGTTTTTGTAATTTTATTTCGCTTTTTCGTGTATTTTTTTTTTCCCCAAAATTTCTGATAGGGTTTTCCAGGTCTTTTTTTTTTCCCCTGTAAGTTGGATAATCTGTTCCATAATCAATTTTTTTGCCCTTTTATCAGGTGGTTAGGCTGACGGTAACGTTTTGTTTGGTCTTGGTTATGTGACCCATTCTGTACTGTTTTTCATTTGGTGTTTTGTATTTATGGATTGAAAATGTGGGTGTTAGCCAGGGATGTTCAGTTCTTTGCTGTCATTGTTTAGTTTTTTTAGGGCAGTCCCTTTTTAAAGGGGGTTTTGGGGTTTTTTTTTAGAAATTATTAATACATTGTAATATCTGTTTGGTTTTAGTCAGTGTGCCAACAAGTTTGTATTCTGTTGTGAAGTTTTTAAAGGGGCTGCCTCATTGTGAAGTTAAAGGTGACTTTGGAGTTTTTGGGGGGTAGTTTCCAAGGGGTTGTTATGGGGAAAAGTGGGGTAGTGGTCTGTGGTATATCTGAAATTAGCCTGATTTTAAAGGGGATAGGGGTTTTGGCCCAGATGTGGTCAAGTGGGGGAAACATAGTCTCTGTAACTTTGTGGTTTTGTTACTTTTGGGTGTAAATACAGTTATCATTGTGTTTGTGAATTCAGTACGTGTTGGGGCCCGGTCTTGCAGGAGATTTTTTATTGAAATCACCTGAGAGTGTAAGTGATCTTTTTATGGTGCTTTGTTATCATACTTTCCCCGTTTTTTACTAAATTGGCTAATGTTTGACTGGGGAACTTGTTGTGTTTATCAATGTGAGGGTTTTTGTAGGTACTTTGATTTGAATTTAGTTTATATATTCCCCTGTTTATCCCCTTTTCAAGTATTAGTTAATTCTAGTTGGGCGGTAGTATATGGCTGTGCCCCCCCCTTGTTGATCTGGCCCACGTTTTGGGATGGCTGTTAACCCGGAATGGCATGAAACTGTATATCAGGCTTTTGCCGGTTTCATTAGTGAAGATGGACTATTTGGGATGTAGGAAATTTTGTAATGTATGAGGTATCGTAATGCTTGCTTAAAATCTGTATTGTAGTTTAAAAAAGTTTTTGTTGTTGGCATGAGAAGTGCTATGAATGTTCAGCGTGTAGTAAATACAGTTACTGTTTGAATCATTTAAGTCATTTAAATTAGATGTTTGTATCAGTATCAATTCTTGAAATCATCATATATTAATATAATTATCTATTTTACTACATTAAAAACCAATTAACTAATTCAAAAAAAAAAACCCCCCCCAAATAAAAAAATATAACCCCCCCCCCCCCCCCCCCCCCCCCCCCCCCCCCCAAAAACCCCCCCCCCCCCCCCCCCCCCAAAAAAATATATATTATATCCCCCCCCCCCCCCCCCCCCCCCCCCCCCCCCCCCCCCCCCCCCCCAAACAACCACACAATTATTTTTCTCTTTTAAGCTAAAATAATGCACACTGGATTATTTTACATCCATAGGTAAAATAATGAGCTCTAAGGGACTAATACAATAAAGTGATTGATCAAATTAGTGGAGCTTGGGTATATGATAGTAGGTCGTACTATATAAGGTAATTTTTAAAGTTAGAATTATAGGTATATAATTATAATATAAAAGGGACTAATATTGGTTGTGGTGACCAATAAAGTGTAATCAAAAAAAGAGATTTGGAATATTATGGCAATATTGTGAACTTATTCTACTTTAGCACATGAGAATAGCACCTTGATTATTTTAACAATTGTGAAATATAAACTAGGATAGTTATATAAAGCTTAAAATTAAAGGAGTGATAACATATTAGGGACTAAATTAACAATATAAACAATTAAATACATAAAAACATGTTAATTACTCAGATTGGAATAATATTTGGCATATACCGAGCTAGTTCGACGAGGTTCGAGAAGAAATATTCGGGATACAAGTCCATTTCTCCTATCCGTGTTTGGGGGCTCATACCACAGTAGGGCCTAACTTTTTGGGCGTTTCACCTTACGGTTGTTCAGCTAATTGCCAATCTCAAATTATGACCAAACTTTCTATTGGCAAGTGGTCTTTCAAATAAGTCGCACTCACACATAGTTTGTTACATTCTCCATGAGGACATTATCTATTATGTTAAAACAATAACTCTTGGGCACATTTCATGTCTAATTTTATGTCAGATATAGACATTTTTCATAAATCCATCTAAGAGAGTTTTTCTACTAAAATTATATAAGAAACTCCTCCATAGCATATAAACTTGCAGTTTTATGCAATGGAGGGTGTGGTTGCCGGGGTGGAGAGAAAAACATTTACGTAATACTAATAATCATAATCACTCTTGGGCACATTAATTGTCTTACTTTACATTTTATATAGACTTTTTTTTTTTTTTTTTTTTTTAACAGTCGGTCGTTCTCCCACGTAACCCCCACGACGCCCAGGGTGACCCATAAAAGAAAGAAATCCCAAAAAGATAATACTTTACATCATCATTCATAACAATTGCACCCACACTCACCATTATTCACTGCTTTTGCAGGGTATTGCTCAGAATACAAACAGCTTAGATTAGAGCCATATTCGTATAAGATACACAACATTTATCATCCAAACTGCCAATATCCCAAACCCCTCTTTAAAGTGCAGGCATGTACTCCCATTTCCAGGATCAAGTCTGGACTATATGAAATTAACCGGTTTCCCTGAATCCCATCACTAAATATTACCCTGCTCACACTCAACAGATGTCAGGTCCAA